TGGTGTTTAATTTAATTTTGGTTGTAACGCGTCATTTGATTGGATAAAAAAATTAGAATGTAGCGTATAACCTGGGTTGCCTACGTCACAATGACTTACGTCAAAAACGTATTAATCCGCTTGACGTTACATTTAATATACGTACAATTTGAAGGCATTTTTGAAGGAGAAATTGTCTTATCTTTTACACTTAATGATGGAAAATTAAATTATAAGGAATGAATTTAATAGCTATCTAAGTTATACTGGTCTGGGTTGGAACAGCTTACGCTTTTTTATAAACCGCTTCGCGGTTTATAAAGCGTAAACTGCCCCAACCCAGATTATACCAGTATATCTTGGGTAGCTATTTAATTCATTCCTTAAATATTTACATTTGCTGTATATTTCTACTAAGCCAACTGTGAAATTGATTTGAAAGTCATTTTTGTGTATACTCACGCGTAGAAATATACACGATGAAACTCGCGCTAAAGTGACGTCACAATGAGGCTACAGAGACGTTAATAAAAATGTAACGATATAGGGCAGCAAGAAATTTAAATATTGAGTATATCATTGGTTCTTTTTAACTTGTAAAATGTAAATATAAGGAATGTTTTTAAGTTTTGTGTGATTTATTGGTGTGTAAATCACACAGACTTGTCACGTAGGCATATTTCATGAAGCGCGCTAGCTTCATAAAAATATGCCTATATTGTACGTGCAAGTCTGTGTGATTTACACACCAATAATTCATACAAAATTTAAAAATATTTCTTATATTTACATTTTACATGTTTAAAAGCACCAAAAATATACTCAATGTTTGAATTATTCGCTGCCCTATATCGGTACATTTTTATTAACGTCTCTGTAGCCTCATTGTGACGTAACTTTAGCGCAAGTTTCTCCGTGCATATGTCTACGCGTGAGTATACACGAAAATGGCATTCAAATCAATTTCACAGTTGGCTTGGTAGAAAAACACAGCAAATGTAAATATTTCGAATTAATTCGCTTTTTTTTTTTCGAATCTACTTACTGTGTGTATTCTCGTGATGGAGTGCTCCATTCCACTTCTAAAATTATAACGTGCCCATGTCGTTACTATAGGCTACGTTAATTAACAGAGACTAAACAGAGACTGAAAAAAACAAGGTTAGTATTATGGTCACTCTCTAATCCGCCATGTAATTGAACACGTCATGCTGATTTAGCCAAGCGTGAGCGCTTCTTGCCTGCTGTTATTTACACTATATTATTATTATTATTACTATTATTATCGCCCACCTGAAAGGCCGATAACTTTAAATCTATTGATCCTCTCAGACAGGTTAAAAAAAAAATGAATTTTACAAGAACGTCTCCAGTTAAAAGTAGAGTTCTAGACATAGCTGCTTTTAAAGACAAACCTTAGAGCAAGTATCTATTTATAATGGCAAACATACTATTATATATTTATCGAACTAATTAATGACAGGGGTGTGTTGAAGGCACTCATGACTGTAGGAAGCACGTGACCTGTGTGCATAGGGCGTTGCTAAAACGCGGAACGGAAAATGGAACGGAACGGAAAGCGGAAAATCTATTTACTTGGCATAAGTATAAATCAGGCAGTATTTTTTTTTTTATATAATAGCTCATATCTAATTAAAATTATTAATACGATGTGATTTATTGATGTTTTTATTTTTCAGAACCGGCATATATACATTGTACATGCGATGGCTAATAAAATATAGGATGAATTAAAAAATAATGACCGGCAAATTAAAGTTTTTTACTCAAGCCCTAGAGGGACTAGAGTTATCTAAAACGATGATAGGTTATCGATTTACTACGGAAGCCGGTTGGTGCCAGGTAGAAAAAATATTTTATCTGGCGACTATTTATGTGGCGGCCGCCAGATAATTATTTGGCGGCCGCCAAATAAAATATTTCTCTACCTGGCACCTACCGGCTTCCGTAATTTACCCAGCTTACAAAACACGAAAATATATCATTTGTGTAAATAAAACATTTCTAGATACAAAAATGAAGCTTATCTGAAAAATGTCTGTATATTCAAAGATATCGGAATATATTCTATGAAGAATAAATAATGAGTGATGCTTCGCAGCCGCAACAGTGTCTATTCAAAGAAAAACATTTCTAGATACAAAAATGAAGCTTATTTGAAAAATATCTGTTTATTTAAAGATATCGGAATATATTCTATAAAGAATGAATAATGAGTGATACTCCACAGCCGCAACAGTTTCTATTCAAAGAAAAACATTTCTAGATACAAAAATGAAGCTTATCTGAAAAATGTCTGTATATTCAAAGATATCGGATTATATTCTATGACGAATGAATAATGAGTGATGCTCCGCAGCCGCAATGGTTTCGTTTTCCTTGCATTAATTTTAACTTTAAAATCGTATATCAGATATTATTTTACACTTTGAAAATTCTTCTTTTGACTAAATTTTCAAGGAGATTTTTAAAATCAGTGTTTCTTTTGTTGTTGTTGTTGCTTTTTTTTTTGCAACACTACATTTGTTATGATGCATTCCTGACATCGAATAAATTATTTTCAGCGTCAGCCACGACCATAATTTAGTCAAACAAAAGTTACTACAATCAACATTTAAAACTCAATACATTGAATATTATTAAGAAAGTATTAATTTCCAATATAAAGTCTTAAACTATTATTATTTATTTCACAGATATTAAAAAAAAACGTGTTGCACTCATGACATTCTAGCATCATTTTTTGGCATCACTTTTTTTTTGTCCTGAAATATCAATGAGATATTTGACACGTATTTAGCCAATATCAAGAGACATATGCTGAGTTAAAGAAATTTATTCTAATTACCTGGATCCGCGCATACAGAAATCTAAATACCTCACATCGCGTGTCCAAATCTGATTTTGAAAAAATGAAACTATTGCCCGTATTCATACCTATGGCTCAGGTAAGCTAGGTTTATTAAGTAAGCCAGAGTCAAGTAAACTGGGTTTAAATCCCACTTGAGCTGAGCTCACGTAAACCTCACTTGTGTTTCACACTGAAAATAAAACTGGTTTTACCTAAACTGCAGACAATCTCTTGTTTTGACAGCATTTGGTATAATATTAACCAGAGAAAGAAACGAAGACACAGGAAAATGAAAAGACAACATATATCTTCATAGAAAATCTTTCATTCCTTCATGGAAAATGTTTTACTAGGAGCGACCTCCTATTTTGAGAAGAGACAATGTTCTCACCATTACTATCAATAAATTAATTAATTCAATATAACAAAGACCTCCACTTACTCTATAATTAAATTTTCTAAGCGAGCAAAAGACACAATTCAGATTCAGGAATTTTTCTCCTTTAGGGGCACGGGCATACCCACTCAAAAAAAAAAGAAACATCTTCCAAATAAAATTCATTATTTTTTTTAAAGGAATAAAAAGCACCAATACTTATTTGGTCACTTTCATTCTACTTGTACACGTATGCATGGGTTCAAATCTCCCCCCCCCCCACCCCACACACACACACAACTTGCCTTTGCAATTATACACAATAGGGTGCGAAGTTGCAAATCGGAGACAATGTAAAATCACCTTTAAATTTCCACCTGGGAATGGCATTGAACATTGATGTAACACACTTCAGCATGTCCATAATAAGCAGAATAGCATTTTTGCATTAGAGAATTTGTGCAAGATCATCAATCTGTCACAGATAATTTTCGGTTGTCTTCTATCTTTTTCCAATGAGATCCAGCCTCTTCATCTAATCTTTGCAGTCCTCCAGTGTTAGAAGAACAATAAATCAACATTTAAACCTACCCTAGACCAGGTTTAGGCTCAGCTTAATTTGTGAGCTTAGCTCACTTCTGAGAAACAGGTATGAAACGGATTTAAAAAATGTAAGCTGTTCTTAGTGGTAAACCTGGTTTAAACACAGGTGTGAATACGGGCATTTGTGACGAAGTTTCAAATAATTCAAATTTTTTTTGTAGAGGCTCATGTATGATAATTATACCCCGAGGAGTATGTTTACCTATATCAACAAATCAGTTGAGGATTTAGTGAGTTGTTTTCAAATTATTAAACATAGTACCGATAAGCGGATAACGCTAACGCGCCTCGGACAGTCTAATATCTAACATAATGGACATGTTTTATATCGATAAATAAGTGCACTAACTGTGTTAAGTCTTATTTATTATTATTTTTAATATATAATTCGCATATAACCATTACATATTGGAGGATACATAATCTTTTCAAACTGTATATTTTAATTATTTTTCAATAAGTAAGCGTGAAATAAATTTCTTGATCTTAATCACCTTCTGCTTGAAAAACCAGTCGTTTTAATGAGAAAAGAATCACTATATACAGGATCATTAATCTACCAATCATGCTTATTTCTGATTTTGCATCTTACCTATATTTTCAAGATAAGTGACATGTTATGTTTTAATGCAGGTAAATTCATATGTAACTTAAAGTTTAACCTGAAGCAGCTTGCATAGATGATGCATTTAGGGGGCAAACTGATCCAGACTGACTTCTGGTGAATTTTTAAATAAGAAGTTGAAACATTATAAAAATAAAGTTTCATTTATATTTTATTATATATTGGTTTGATGAGACACTTTATCTCGCTTATAGATTTCATCCGTTGAGTTGATTATCTATGTTTATTAATCTAGAATGTCGAAGGATTTTGAAAAATTAATCATCAAATTAAGAGAGTATAAGAATTAGTTACTGTGGAATCATTTTTATTCGGGGGTGGGGGGGGGGGGGTCAATTGTTCGTGGGGAAGCAAAATTTTGTCGATTCGTGGGGACGTAAGAGCGTGGGTAACTCGTATACAGATGTATAAATGGGGAAGTAAATTCGTGGATAAGAGTGACCCACGAACATTGGTCCCCCACAAACACTGATGATTCCACAGTAATTGTATAAATATACATTATGTTTACAAGAAATGCTTTTAATCTTATGTTTTATTTTACTTGCAGTTTTGTTTGTCGAATCATTAACTCTGCCAGGTTCGCCTGCCTGTTCCAAGCCAGGAGAAAAGAGGAGGATGTATAACATAAGTAAGGTTTAAATTTCCAATATATATATTGTACAGTGAGACCTCTTCAAGAATGAGTCTTCCCTCGGAAGTAATGCTCTAAAGTGAGACTTCTCCAGGAAGCCCTGTTCTAGAGTGAGACTTCCCTCTGGGGGAAATCTGACTTCAGAAAAGGAGAACCCTTCAGGAAGTCACAGTCTAGAGCCACACTTTTCTAGGAGAAGACATAGTCCACCACTAGTTGTTGAGTCCGACTCCCCCATAGTAAGCCCCCCCCCCCCCTCAGTTTCAATCTTGCTTTCACTACTGCTACAATTACTTTATAGAGAATGTTGATATACCAAAACTTTATACAGTTCTACATCAAACCAATTTTGAACAGATTACTGATTAAACAGAAGGGAAAAAATCATTAGATGTGACAAGTAATTTCTTATTAAGGATTTTGCATTTTTCAAAGGGGGAGTTTCGATAAGGCTGTTTTTCGGCCCCTCAAGAAATGTAATGAAATTGTGATATGTTGTAGATATAAGTGTTATCTTCCTAAAATTATGAAAAAAATTTATACTGCACATTTTCTGGTCACGTGATAATTAAAAATTTAAGTATACCCTCTTCCCTATATTTTTGGAGGGGTCATATTTAAAGGGGGTAATGGAGTTTATTTAACGTCAAAATCATAAATGAAATATTACAAATGTGAATAAAGGCATCAAATAACCAATTTCAATATTTTTCTTTACAGAAAATTAATGATATTTATTTTATTTGAATGCGTTTTAAGGTGCAAGATTTTTCTCGTGTTTTAATTGTAACTCTTCTTTCAAAGAGGATCAATGTAACATATAAAACGTATATGAATAATAAAGACAGGAATTTTCAAAACATGAATTAATCGACAGTTTATACTTAGACTTAATAATCAATATATAACATTTTCCCGTACGTAGAAAAGCAAGTGTAAAGATATATAGACAAGAGATAGATAATCTTAAACTGCCATTGACAGGTGTTTGACACTGTTTGCAACACATTTTTGTCAACTAAAGTTATTGTGCTAAATATAGTATTAAAAATGTACCGTAATATCATTAAATTGAATTTAAAAAAAAAATCTTGAAATTAGTAGATTTCGGAATTCGGTACGATTAAAAAATGCAGCTATTTATACTTTTAAAGTATATTTTAAAAAATCATAGTCTGCAATGTACATTGTATTTAATAATACCAAGCGTATTACTACCAGTCAAAATATTTTATCAAGACAGTAATTATTAGTCCCATACCGGTGAAGCCGGAGGATTCTATAGGTTTCCTCATCGTCTGTCCGCCTGTTTGTCCGTTCGTCCCTCTGTCTATCTGTCAGTCTGTTCCACTTGGTTTTTCGCACTTTTCTCTAAACTCTTGCAGATATTGAGCTGGCTTTGGTATTTATAGTGTATCCTGATGAGAAACAGTTTGGAATTCGAGTGTGAAATTCTGCTTCATTGATTTTTGACGGAATATTTATTTATAAATTTAAAAAAAGTGGGTTTTTTTGTTTTGTTTTGTTTTTTCTAAAAAAAAAAAATCGCATACATTAAGCTGATTTTTGTTTTGGTATATGTGCTGAACTTGAGTTATAGATCAAGTTTGCATTTTCTTCCGCTTCAATGATTTTTCAAATAGGGCATTTTCAATTTTTAATGGAAACCAGGTTATACTTGGTGTGCCGATAGTGGACTATTATTGCTAATGCTTACAGAATGCGTGAATAAATAGCCAAATGATAAAAAAACTAAAATACATTGAGTGCATGTCTTCTATTCATTCTTAAACTTAAAAGTATTTACGCACATAAAGAGGTTATGTTTTCAGCAAAAAAGAGACATTCAGGCAAGCGAGGACCTACATGTAATTCCTCGCGCTTCCCAACTTCCTTTTGATGCTTATGTTGTTTCACCAACTCTAGTCACTATTTGATTTGTTAGACCATAGCCGCAATTTAAAATACATTTGTAAATACCAAATGTATGTGTTAAATCATATCCTGCAGAAACGTTCAAATCAACATCCAGTCTTAAAAGTAATCTACGTTCCCTACATGTAGACCACACGGAATTATATGTGAACCTTCTCTAACAGATTGAAGCGAGGAGAGTTTCTATTCAAAGGAATGGCTATAAACATATCCTTGATAAGGAAAGTTAATGAATGGACTAATCCTCAAACTTCTCTTTAGTTCAGTCAGTCATTCGGAAAATGTAAGATCCGGCATCTGTAGCATGATCGGTGCATATTTCTTCAAGATAGGGATTATAGTTACATGAAAATGAGACATGCTCCAAAATATATACCCTGAGTATTCATCAAGAAAATGTAAGTCAGATCTAGCGTCTGAAGCAAGTCTGACAGTGTGCATCCGAAGATGCATCATAAAGCACGTCTTCTCAACAAGTGCTTATAGCTGCACTGCTCCATAAACATTAACCTGCTTTAAGAACATTAACCTGGACATTCTTTAACTGAAAATGCAGCATCTGAAACCCGACAGATGACAAGAAAACACACTAGATCAGGCGACTCTGATGATATGAAGAAAATGATTAAAAACTTTTAATAACCTGGAACGCCTATAACGATGGTATTACAAAAGCTCCCCCAACTTCGTGTAGGTGAGCTAAATATGTGACGTTATAGTTATACGCGGGCGACGAAATAAGTATGGAAATAACGATAGGATACGATTATGTTTTCTTATGTTAATATTTTCGAGAGTTCTCTTTGGTTTAGAAAAAATATGCTACTTTTGGCTTTGTATTTTTACACGGCGTCAGATCAAGTAACCAGGAGCTTCTAATTTAAGATATGCAAATTTTAGACAATTTTCAATTTTTGGATATGAAGTGCACACGCGACACTCATCATATTTTAAGATAATAGTGTGCAGAGTATATCTAATTACTGAAGAAAAATAGGTGAGTGTCCCTCATACACTTCATATTCTAACCATCGATTTATAATTGCCACCCTCTTGTATTTTCCCATTAGCCTAATGTTAAATCATTTGAGGGTACATCTAAGAATGTGCCAACTACGGTGTGAATTCATCTCATATAAACTCTTGGAATATAAATAACAAAAATTAACATATATATCTTGAATTCTAAACCAATTTTGAAAAAATAAAACGAAATTTATTTTTATGAAAATAAGTGGGCCGATAAGCGGCCTTATCGAAACTCCCCCTTTGCTAGTTTTGCACAAATTACTGATTAAATACAAGAAAAAAATCATTAGAAGTAATAAGCAATTTCTTATTAAGTATTTGCATTTGTTTAAACCTGTAACTTTCATAGCTTTATAAATGGAATTTTATCTTTAGATACACCTTTTTTCTTTGTTTGTAACCTTGATCCTCAACTTTGACCCACATATCAAAAAGTTCACCATGCCTGTATCTTCGTCTGTTTTAGAAGGGGCGCTTTCATCTTCTGCATATGACAGTCCTTTCTGCTCTTCTGTATAAATATAGCCCTTTTATGATGTCGATCCATAGATATATCGACTTCACAGAAAAGCATATCAACTGAGCACTCTCCATTTGAATAGTTTACTTATTATTCAGTTGTGGCTCTCAATTTAAATATTTTTACCTTTAGCAGTTGATTTGACATCCGTATGCCACAAAATATCACTCTCTATATCACTGTCTATCTTGTTATATAAATATAAACGTTCTAATGACTGTTTGAATGAGATGTAAGCTCGTTTTAAGAACATCCTGAACTTAATCATTTGCAATTGCAGTTCATTACCAAAGAAAAGAAAACGCATGGCTCATTGTCCTGTATATGTGTAGTATCTTTGGAGTAAGTATGTTCTTTAAAATTAAATTACTACTTTTATGATATGTGTGACGCAAGGAAAGATAAAAACTGCAAACTATATGAAACACATGGAAAAAATATAATGAGGATAAATTATACATGTATGTATGTTGTATATAAAGTTCAAAACGTGTATCAAAGAGAGATTCATGGGACACTTCACTCACCTGGCGCAAATAGATTAGTTTTATCATTTTTGACAAATCTGTTTGAAAACAAAAAATTAATCCATCCATGTTTCTATGCTTAATTTGATGACACCAATGCTAGAGGATAAGTATGCTGGCACTAGATGTATCATCTTTATATATTTGTCATTCCATGCAGTATGTCGTAGTAAACGATGACCCCTAACGTGAGTATGCTCATTAATAGCCAGATTTAATACTTTCAGTATAGTGCAATTGTGCAAACAGGTCAAGAGAAGTTACCAAAATTTATATATCTACATCCTGTGATAATATCCTGTATGAAAGCTCACTCAATTCTCCATCAAATACCAAACTCTATTCTTAAGTTCACAAGAGCTTGGCAAAATCAGTCTGATGAAGTGAATTATATTTGCTGAATACATTCGATGCATTTTCTTTAACTTTATCCCCTTCTTTGCAACTAATCCATGATAACTTTACTTTATCTGCTTCATTTTTTTTAAAAATAGGAATATGGTATGCAAAAAAGACTTAATGATCAAAGCATTTATACGAGAGAGAAAAATGATATCACATAACAAGTTTCTTGTACTCGATACAATCTTATTTGCCTCTTATCATACAGGATCCCACCTCTGAAGTTTTAGAGGCCCGTGTTTGCTCTGCTCTTATTTTGAAATGTTTAATGGACTTCTGAGCTCGAATACTGTTCGTTACCTCCACATATTTTATTCAGTGTCAGTATACAATATTAGTATTATACATGTTTTCATTAATCAACAGGCTAGTGTATCGCGTGGTATTTCGATATGAAGAATAATATGAAGGGATTACGTTGCATAGTTCTTAACTTTGTTGAAATCTTATAATACTAAAATACCTCATGGTTAACACCACACCAGTCTGTTAACGTTTACCTACCACAAGATCAAATTTTACCTTTCAGTCGATTGAATGATAGCTGAACTGAATGACCACTGATTCACTAAAGGGTCACTGAAAGGAGTCTGTCAATGGCCATAAAGTCAACTGAATAACTGGTGCATTTCAGTTATCTTTGAATTGTCTTTTATTTTACTTTATAAGTGCTTAATTTATACCTGTGCATTTTTTTCACTTCTGCTATTATGTTGTTAATAAATATATCCATTTACCTACTAGAAAGTCACATGTTACCTGTCAAGGATTAAGGCGATTTATATACATGTATAATGTAGTTTCTATGTTAACTGTGAGGATTTTCGAATGAGGATAGATCAGTACTCGCCCTTAATCGGGATAATGATATATATGTATATCGGTGATAGAGTATATGCCCTTTTTATGTGTTTATTTTTGATTCTAAATAAATCTGGAATACTTTAAATATAACTTCTACTCAGAGAAATTCCATGAAAACCTACCAAATTCAGAAAAATGCGGGATATAATTACATATTTGTATTTGAGTTGAAAAAAGAAAAAAATGCATTTCTTATTTACAAGCAATCTCACCGATAATCTAGAACCGTCCACCTTTGACTTTTTAATTCATTCTTCGTCTTTCAGATTAAACTATTGTGAGAAACTTTAACACATTTTCGGAAGGGAGTAAAGCAAATTCTCTGTCAATTAATTAAAGTCTGATACAAATATATTATAATTCTGTTATTTTCATAATAAAAAATTCTATTTTCTAAATACATTTTAGTGAGACAAATCAGATTCTAAAATATTTTTAATTCATTAGTCTACTAGTTAGTCCCTTACCGGTGAAACCGGAGGGGACTATAGGTTTCCTCTGAGTCTGTCCGTCCGTCTATCTGTCTGTCTGTCTGTCCCTCTGTCTGTCTGTCCCACTTGGTTTTCCGCACTTTTTTCCCTAAACGCTTGCAGATATTGAGCTGATTTTTGGTATGCGAGTGTATCTTTACCTTGATTAGTTATAGATCAAGTTTGCATTTCGTCCCGCTTCATTGATTTTTGACGGAATTATGGCATTTTCAATTCTTAACGGGAACCAGATTACACTTGCCGGTAGGGGACTAGTATTGCTAAAGCAATACTCTCAGAATACTTGTTTTATTTAGTTTAATTGTAAGCTTTCATGTGCATTTTACATATATAAATATCATAGTTAATTTAGAAAGTTGATAGTCTAAAATCAAAGTTTCAAATAATCAGTAAATAAACCGAATAAAATATTCAGTCATTGATGTAAAAATTATAACATCTGGAATTTCTGTCCAGAATAATAATAATGGAAAGTCCTTTAAAGATTTTTATAATTATACTAAATGATCAATAAAATGTATTTAAAAAACAATTTCTATAGGCAACTGAGGGGTTCTTGAACGACCGAAAGGCAACTGAATGGTAACTAAAAGGTTACGGAAAGGCCACTGAAAGATAACTGAAATATGTTCGCTGAATGGTCACTAAAATGTGTCTGAATTGTGACTGAAAGATAACTGAAAGGTCACTGAAGTTCACCTGTTCAGTCATAGAATGGTACTGAAAGACCCTTTTTAGTTTTAACTAAAATTTCTCATTTGTAAATCAATTTATTATAGCACGGATTCAGAGAAAGAATGATTAAATATGTGGCCTTTTCAACTTGTGTTTAACATTTAACGAGGCCAAGTCTAATTTATTTCTACCCTAGATATTTTAATAGAATTTCTAATACAGATTTGTACCACCTTTTCAACGGTTTTAAAATCGGACAATTACCATTTTGATTTCTTCTCAAGGACTTTCATATTTTCATTATTGGACCCTATGGCATTTTATTAAAAAATGGCAAATTTTCATATTTTTCCCATTTTTAACTCACCTGAGCTGAAAGCTCAAGTGAGCTTTTCTGATCACCAGTTGTCCGTCCGTCTGTGCGTCTGTAAACTTTTCACATTTTCAACTTCTTCTCAAGAACCACTGGGCCAATTTTAACCAAACATGGTACAAAGTATCCTTGGGTAAAGGGGAGTTTGAATTATTAAAATAAAGGGCCAAGTCCCCTTACAAGGGGAGATAATCAATAAAAGACAAATATAGGGTGGGGTCATTAAAAAAATCTTCTTCTCAAGAACCACTGGGCCAAAAAAGCTGAAACTTTTGTGGAAGCATTCTGGGATAGTGTAGATTCTAAATTGTTAAAATCATGATCCCCGGGGATAGGGCGGGGCCACGATAGGGAATCCCATTTTTACATTTAAATATATGAGAAAAATCTTGAGAAATCTTCTTCTCAAGAACCACTGGGCCAGAAAAGCAGAAACTTATGTGGAAGTATCCTAGGGTAGTAAAAATTCTAAATTATTAAAATCATGATCCCTGTGGTTAGGGCAGGGCCACGATAGGGAATCCCATTTTTACATTTAATAATATGAGAAATATCTTTAAAAATTATGTGGAAGCATCCTAGGGTAGTGTAGATTCTAAATTGTTCAAATCTTGACCCCCGGGGGTAGGGCGGGGCCACAATAAGGAATCCAAGTTATACATTGAAATATATAAGAAAATCTTTAAAAATCTTCTTCTCAAGAACAACTGGGCCAGAAAAGCTGAAACTTATGTGGAAGCATCCTCAAGTAGTGTAGATTCTAAATCATTCCAATCATGACCCCCGGGGTTAGGGCGGGGCCACAATAGGGAATCCAAGTTTTACATTGAAATATATAGGAAAAATCTTTAAAAAATCTTCTTCTCAAGAACCACTCGGCCAGAAAAGCTTAAACATATGTGGAAGCATTCTGGGGTAGTGTAGATTCTAAATTGTTCAGATCATGACCCCGGGGGTAGGGCAGGGCCACGTTAGGAAATTCAAGTTTTACATCGAAATATATAGGAAAAATCTTTATAAATCTTCTTCTTAAGAACCACTGGACCAGAAAAACTGAAAATTATGTGGAAGCATCCTGGGATAGTGTAGATTCTTAATTGTTCAAATCATGACCCGCGGGGTAGGACGAGGCCACAATAGGGAATCCAAGTTTTATACTTAAATATATAGGAAAAATCTTTAAAAATCTTCTTCTCAAGAACCACGGGACCAGAAAAGCTTAAACTTATGTGGAAGCATCCTCAAGTAGTGTAGATTCTAAATTGTTCAAATCAAGACCCCCAGGGGTAAGGTGGGGCCACAATAGGTATTACAAGGGGGGAAATCTGGTAAAGAACAGCAAGGCCAAAGTTACTCAGGTGAGCGATGTGGCCCGTGGGCCTCTTGTTTTTATATTTCTGCCCTAGGGATTGTTTTTTCAGTTGAATAATTATATGAAAGCTCTTGAAAATGACTATAAAATGATGAAATAATAATGGAAAGTCACCATCCGGTTTATTTCACGGACCGTCTCAAAGTTCATTTCTTAAAAAAAATATTTCTTCCAGTTTTGAAATTTTTGTCCATTTTTATGACCAGTTTAAAGGGAAACGTTCAGAAAATAATTTGTGCCGTGTCTTAAGTACGATAAACAACTGCAGTATTTTTTTAAGTTTGATTAAAAATTACAAAGCTTGTTGTCTGGGTGTGGTCAAGAAGATTAAGTATGTCCTTATTTCAACAATTAAAAATAAAATTTATTTATTTTTTGCTGACTAAAATCTTTCCAAATATCTACATTATGTCAAATTTTATTAAAAGAGGGTGCTTTAGATTTGTTCCACTGATATTAGAAACTCGCTTTAGAAGCACTAAAAATTCCTCGCTTGTGTACTTCTCACTCGGGAAAAAAACTGCTTTTTGGGAAAGCATATCCAATTTTTATTTTATACCATTTTTCATCTGCAGAATTGTGTGAACTGTGAAAAACCTGTGTAGGTTCATCGTGTTGATGAATGTCCTCATCACAATAATTTATCAGCATGGTTTGAAGCCTCAAAGAGACTCAACTGTTTTCATAATTTGACATCTGAAGATCCAAAGGAGCAGACCAGAGTTTATCATTGTATTCCAAGTGTGTTTCTCAATGAGACGGTGGAGTTTTGTGGAAGAAATGAACCAATACAAGCAGGTACATCTCGTATTGCATTTTTCTATCTCTAACCTTATAAGCTATCTTAAGGCATAGACTTAGGTAAACTTTTCTGATTATTATTCGAAATATTACATCGTGAGAACATGAATTCGCGGGCTATATCATAGAGGAATACAACAACGAAAAATTAACCCCTGACGAAAAATAGTGATTTCACGGTATACTTTAGGGAGTAATTTTTTTTTTTTTTACGTTTTTAACGTTTTCAATTTTCACAGACAATGGAAAATAATTTGAGAAAATTGCACTGTCTTGTGGCATCTTTTTTTTAAAATCATAGTTAAGGATCAGGATGGGAGCACAATAGAATATAAAACATTTTCCTGTATACAGGAAAGAGTACCAATGTGGGTACAAAATGTCCTTGGGTAAATGGGATTCTAAAATGTTAAAATGAGGGGTCAAGCCGCTTTACAAGGAGAGATAATCAAGAAAAGCCAGTGATAGGGTGAAGTCATTAAAAACTTTTCTCTAGAGAGTCTGGGCCAGAAAAGGTGAAACTTATATGGAAGCTTCCTGAGGAAATGTAGATTCAAATTGTTCAAATCATAGCCCCTAGGGTAGGTTGGACCACAATATGGAATTAAAGTTTTACATTCAAATATAGGAAAAATATTTAAAAATTTGTTCAAGAACCACTGGACAAGAATGCTTATCCTCAAGCTTGCTATTATTGCATCTTCAAGTAATTTTGCATCTCTATAAGTGCAATTATTACAAACATTACTGAGTATGAACCGAATGAACGAAAGCAAAATATATTTCAAAGTATTCCTCTTAAGATATCCTATGTTTTTATATGAATGAATATTAAGTATGTAAGTTCTCCAACTACCATCCTGGTTGAATATTATTATTAAATACGTACGTGTTTCATTATTTTAAATTTTCTTGTTAAAATCTAAATTAACTGTTTTACTTGGATTAAATTCTACCGCCCATGTATTAGACCAATGTTTGATCCTAAGTTGATAAATTTGCAGAGTTTTAAAATGATTGTATATTGTTTTACGTCCCATTCGAGAATTTTTCACTCATATAGAGACGTCACCATATACCGGTGAAGGGCTTCAAATTTTGACCTTTACTCGGCACTCAGGGCCATTGAGCAGTGAGGGATCTTTATCGTGCCAACGCCTGCCGTGACACGGGGCCTCGGTTTTTAAGGTCTCATCCGAAGGACCCGCAACTTTCACTTCAAAGTGCCGAGCGCCGAGCCCCTAAAATTTTACAAACAACCGGATTTATTGATATTGGCCGATAGTTATTAACATCATGTGCACTTCCTTTATGTTTAAAGATAGGAGTAAGTTTATGAATTTTTATACTTATTAAGACGGGGCTATTATGGTTTGGCGCTCATGTCCATCCATCTGTCTGTCCAAGTCTCTGTCTGTTAGCTTTTTTCGTATCCAGCTCTTAACTTCAATACTATGAGGCCTAGAATTATCAAACTTTGTCAGCTGATACATCTTGGATAGAAGGTGTGTCGCACATTAAAAGTAGGTCACTATGTTGCACTCTAAACTATTTATGATAATTAAACAAAATTTGACGGGCGTATCATACGCCGTGGCGGTGCACTTTATTCTTTATTTCATTATCTGTAAGTGCAGATGATTTGGTATTCTGGATTTTATTCAAGTTTTGTGTTAAACTTGGAACTGGGGTGGGGCTTCACAAAAATAAGTTATGTAGAAAATAAAACTTTAATCTTTTCAAGGGTAAATGGGCCATAAATCATATTAATATGCAAAGATTTTTTATATATTGTTTAGATTAAATTTTTATCCAAAATAATGGACTCTGGGGTTAGGTTGGGCAAACACTGGAGATTAAATTTTACATAATGCAAGTATACAGGTAAAACTTCTTGAAGGATTCGAATGTTGTGTGAATTCAATTTCTGGATCGGGTCATAATGTAGGTCAAATGTTTTAATGAAAATAACAAGGAAAATAATCTTCTGATGAAGAACAGCAGACCCAGGTTATTCAGGTGAGTGTTGTTGGGGTTTCTTCTTTAACTTTTTGTACAGAAGTTGTGTTTTTTTTTCTTTCTTTAGGGAATTGTCCGATTTACAACTACAGATACGCGGCCAATACTTCACCAAGCTACTACAATTGTACAAAATTTACCTCAGGCTGTCCTTCCAAAATGTACTTCTCAAAAGATGTTTACAAACGTAAGTCCCTCGTTTTACATCTGTGTTATGAAGTAACCGTTAAAATTTTACAGTAAGTTTTGAGTTAATAAATAATGTGTTGTGTGCTACTACATGTACATTTGCTTTTATTCTGAAACAGGAGTAACTTATTTACAGATTCTAAAAGACATAAAAAATGGTTTGTATATTATGATAACCGAAGTGCCTCTTACTTAAAGAAATACTAAATTATTCAAGTGTAAAAGACCGTTATTGATTTCCTTTTTTTTTTAATTTGTTTTGTTTTCATTGTTTGTTTGTTTGTTTGTTTTTTGCTTTGTTTTTTTTTAATGAAATGTATAGAGATAACGAACAGTATTCAAACTCAAAAGTCCATTAAACAATACAAGGTTTGGAGCAGAGCAAACACGGACCTCTAAAACATCAAAGGTGGGATAAGGTGCCATGGAGGAGTGAGCATGCCCTGCCGACCAGTCATACCCGCCGTGTGCTCCTTGTCATGATCGGGAAATAAGGAAAAATCCGTCGACAATTCAGTGTTTAAATAATGGCCTAACAATTAGTATGAAAAACGTCAGTCAGCATTTGACTTGATATTAAATTGTATTTGCTGACAAGGTCATTGTATCGACCATAGAATTTACGAAATGACGAATTTAAACGAGATTACTAATATTCTTGTTTCATTAACTTGTATACAGTCAATAACTTACCTCGTTTTAGAAATTGATCATACGTAGAGCATGCCCTTGCGTATCGAATAAACTGAGAGATATTAAACCCTGTATGCAGGTGAGGAAGGTATATTGCTGTATAAGTAAGGGAAGTTGACGAAGAATAGTTAAAGTCATCACGTTTATCATAAAGCTTGGTTGTTAGATTACCATTAACATCTCTTTCTAGTAAAATATCCAAATATGAAAGAAATGTGTCAGACTCTACTTGGACTGATTTATCATTGCAGTTATCTGTTTGGATTTTAGCTCACCTTGACAAAGTCAAAAAACTCTCATCGTCGGCGTCCCTGTAAAGTTGTAAGAGGAAGTCCACTCCTTAGTAAATACAATACAGTGTCAGATACATATTGTCAAATTAAATCAGTTCTCTTTGTTTGCGAAGGAGGATAATATCGGTTTTTACCTTTAAAAACATTGCAAATTTTGTGTAGTTTGATAGTTGACTACTATTACTGGAATCCCAAGTTTGTAGTAGAGACACTTATTCTCTTAACTATTACAATAAATAAATGTTCTCCGAAAACAAGGTAAACAGGATATATTAAAATTACTGTGTCTGTCTGTATGAAATGATTAAATCGGTATGCGGTGCATCAGTGATCTTTGGATACTCATAAAGATGCACAACATCATGTAATTGCTGCATCTGACCTAGATTTTATGCTCTAGTGTTCATCTGTTCGATCTGTTTTCCATTTATCACAATTGATACCCCAAACCAAACTTGAACATATGATGCGTGTGCTTCTGGTGCCGCGTATGATGTACATTTTCTGCTTGTCTTAGTCCTCCTGTCTTTTTCTGACACACAGTTTCATAGGCGAGTGACTCTTCTGAAGGAAATTTAAACATGTTTCTGTACATTTATTATCTCATTTCATTTGTCAGTTGCATTGGATCCTCCTGTATCTGACTTACTTTTTACCCTCAGAAAGTTGATGACACTTAGCTTGTAAAAAGCTTAATATTTTTAAACATTCATATCCCAATGCAAGATGTGTGTATCTATATATAACGAGAATATAATTTGATCATATTACCTGCATGCAATTCTAAGAATAACTTGTGATGTATGCCATAGATCTAATAATTGTATATAATTAATTTTGCTTACTATACTTACGAGATTTATGATCGATTGTAAGACATCTTAGTATACATTTCACTTCGTATACACTGTACACTGTATATATATAAATTCAGTCGCGGTATTCTTACAAATTATGTTTTTAGTCAAGTGAAGGGACACGAGTCCCTGTTGCTTATTTTATGAAAAGGTCCTTGAAAAAAAGAAATTGAGCGGTATGAAGAAATTTGGATAGGTGAAGTTTGCCAATCTGAGATTTAATTGATAACTTAAGTGCGAACAGATTGATGGATAATTTGAAAAAAAAAAATGTTCTGAAACAGATGCTTTGCTATATTTCAATAATTCTTTATTTAATCATCATATTTTGTTCAGACAAAGAATGCATCGAAATTGATGTGACTAAAAAATGTTATGTTGCCGAGATCTGCAGCCAAATAAGGTTTGTAATTTTTGTAACCTTTGCTATTACTAATAATCTAACCCAAATGGCACCAAGCGGCGTAAAAAAAAAGTGCAGGACGTCATATAATACGTACAGTTTACAAGGAAACAAAGCTTTGTATCTATTTTAGGTCACATTAGTCACAGGTGACCTATTGCTGCTTATGGTGCATTAACGTTGGAGGGATTTAACTGTATCAAAAAGAGGGAGGGGCAACCAGCCTTTCATTGATCTCTCCCTCAGATTCTATGTGTCTGTATGTTAGGATTTATTTTTTCCACATTAGACTAAAAATAGATTGGAACCAAATTTACACAAATAGTTTTGGAAAGTTATTTCACTTGCACCTGACTTCCACTCATATGAACATTACATTACGGCACATGGAATCTTGGGTGAGGGGTGGGATGGGGGGTGTGCAGGAGGCCTGCCCCTCTCCCCACCTTTTATGAATGTAAAGTTTTAATTTTTAAGGATAAAAATTTTCAATGAAAGCCCCCATCCCTTCCATTATTGACCTGAACATCCCACCAAATAAAAAGAATTTGGAGTTTGGAGAATTCCTTTCTCTTTTTTTTTTGGGGGGGGGGGCGGCTAGTCAAAGATTTGTTTTCAGGTAAGTTGTCAATTTTTTCCCAATCCTATATATGTGCCTGTGCCTGACATTTATTTTTCTACATTGGACCTAAAGTAGAATTAAAAATTCCAAAATAATACAACTGATTATGTTTTTCTATATTGCACCTACAGTACAATTAAAAAATCCAAAATAATACAATCTGGTTGCGTTTTTTTTTTACCGCGTTTCATGATGTTTATTTAGTACTTCAGTAAATGTTTAATCACTGAATCAATCAATAAAATAATTATTGCTGTTTTTTCGGTCAATATGATGATTTAGCCGTATTCGAAGTACAATATTGTACTCCTCAGGTGTCTAAATCATTGTATTGACCGAAAAAAACAGCAATAATTGTATATAATATGTGTCAAGATTTATAATTTCAGAATTTCTTTATATTAAATTACATTATCCAAAATCAGGTTAAGTCTAAATACACTGATGATCATGAAACGAAAAGAAACCAAATGATTAATTTTTCATCTAAGACATGCAGTCAATTAAGATAATTTTATTAAATCAAAGTTAGCTGATTTTGGTGGAAATTAAATAATCAATGGTTGGTCATTTTTTTTTGTCCGAAATGTTCTTGTTGAGGAATTGGGTAAGCGGCATTTAATTACGAATAATGTATATTTATGCATGCACAAGCCTTTATTGTGTGTGTGAGGGTGTGTGTGTGTGTGTTTATTTATTTATTTGTTTATCATTTTATTTTTCCTTTGGTTTGTTTGTTCACGCACATTAAGGAAATCCGATCCGCAGCCATGAAGGATAACTCTTAAATTTATTATTTTATTTAAAAAGTCTCAAAATAAAGCTTGAAATTAATATCTTTTCATGCAACAATTTTCATTTTATGCATCTTAATATGATTCAAGGTTCTTTGAAGTCTTGGAAACGGTCTTGTGAAAATTCGACATTTGTAACCCATAAAAGAAAATAATTAATTCATTTTTAGAGAAATTGAATTTCCTTTAGTTTTAGATACCAATGCTTATTAGCATGATATGGAATTAGACGCGATATGTGATGTCTAGCAATGATAGCACAAGCTTTTTACACTATATATTATATGAAAATTGAAATTAAAAAAAAAAACAACTAAAATACTGTATAAGCATAAAAAAGATGCAATTTTCTCCAAATGCCTGGATACCTATATTTGTCTAATCCTAAATTATATTTGTTGATCAATTTTCAATTTAAAAATGCATAGCTGGTGTTTTAATTGGCATTTCCCGAAAATATATTTGAGATTTGATAATTTTCCCTATATAATATGATTAACTATAATGATGAACTTTGAAGAAATTCCATGGGTAAAATCACGTTAATATGTGAAATTAGAGACATTTTTGTGAGCATTTTCAATTACTTTAAAGCTGATTTTCAGTACCTGAGGATCGGACTACCTTAAAGAGATAAGGAGATATAAATTATGTGGCGTGTGAAATCGATCATCAGATTGATATAATACTGCTGTTAAAATCTGCGCCTCAACTATCTTTAATTTTTTATAATAAGCTTTAAGCAAGTTCTATCTCATAGTTCCATGTTATGCCTTGAAGCAACAACAGTTTCTAGGTAGCTGTATTAATAGATTCACTTTTCATATAGAAATACATTATCAGGACATTTAATCAAGTCTATCATTTTGCTTAAATGAACTATACTTTTAATCACATATTTACCTGAATTAGATTTCAGTAGTACGTTACATTGCACATTTATATCCTCTCGATAACTTACTGATTAATGCATGTGACATTTGATATTATATCAATACTGTTATATCCTGTATTTCATTAATTTTTATATCCAAATAACTGAATTTAAAACATTTGAGAGATTTAGGTGTGTAATTTGGCATTTGCTAAGATGGTACAGAAAGGGCATGAGGTACAAATAATAACCGAACTTCTGCATTAACAGACTCCAATCTCGTGTATGATTGGGAAAAATGGTGAAGAGAGCAAACGGTGGTCGATATCCTATAAACAACCGGTCGCGGTAGCCTAGTGGTAGGGCGGTCGGTTTCTGATCGTTCCCGCTCCGCCTCAAACCTAGTTAGTGACTGTTCTTTCGTCAAGCGCCCAGCACTAGAATTGAAAGTCACAGGTCATTCGGATGAGACCTTAAAAACCGAGGTCCCATGTCACAGTAGGCGTTGGCAAGGTAAAGAACTCTCACTGCTAAATGGTCTTGAGTCACAGTGGGGTGCCAAGAAAAGGTCTAAATTTTTAAGCCCTTAACCGGTACATGCATGGTTACGTCTAATATAGGAGTGAAACATTCTCGAAAGGGGCGTAAAAGAGCAGCAATCCTATGAACTTCACATCGTAAACAGGGCGTAGGAGAAATAAGCATCAACTGTCGACTGGTCACACCTGCCGTAACGTACGTTACTGAGCTACAAGTTAGTATTAAAGGTAAATACATAATGTATACTTTATGATAAATACACTGGATTTTAGCATGTAATAATCTTGGCATTTATGAGCTGACTGTAAAAAAAAAAGTTGTTAATGCTAAATACCAAGATTATTACAATCCATATCATATGTAATACGCAGGTAAAATTACATCATATATTTACGGTACAAGTTGCTGTCCTTTAAAAAAGGACTGCAATACGTGGACCATATGCATGTGTTTCGAAACGAAATTCAAAGAAAATTTCTAGATTTAGTGAGTTTACAAAGGTGTAATTAAGTTTAATCTTTTTTTTCTAATGTTCATCGTTTTTAAGTCTGCTTAATTAGGCTGTAATGATAAAAAAAAAATCATGACCTTGAAATTATATGAATATGAAATGTTGATCAAGGTATCTATCACAATTGTAATTTAGCCTTTATAATTAACAACAGAATTAAAAGAGGCTTAAGCGTGCAGGTATCGTAATCTACATTGGCGTATCCAGGGAGGGGGGTTCGGATGTTGGAACCCCCTTTATTTTTGCAGAAAGAGGAAGAGAGAGAGAGAATGTTTATTCTGTAATATATATTTTTTACATCTAGTGTTTTCAAAATATTAAGTACTTCAATCTCTGCCCTTTCTGCTCTCTAGATAGAGTTTTTACTTATTGCTTCCTCCGTGTACCTTCACAATACCGGAACCGGGCCTCGACCACCAACAATTTCACTTTGATATCATCGGAAGATTCCAGCGAACGAACGTCCGGCTATGCCATTTTTGGACCATCTTTTAAAGAAATAACTTTAAGAAGTATGCATAAAAAGTCATGAAAGGGATTATCCATAAGAGAATATTATCCTTTACAAAAATTTGATATTTCTTATCCAAAATTTGTACATGACAATTAATTGTCATGTACAAATTTTGCATAAGAAATATCAAAATTTTTGTAAAGGACAATATTTATCTCCTTATATTTTGGGGATATTTTAATCAATGAAGAGAAACCCCCGTTTACTAAAGGGTCTCGAGTTATCTTAAACGATGCTACGTTATCGATTAACTCGATCAATTTAAAAACACAAAAAAAGATTAATTTTGTGTGTGTGTGTGTGTGTGTGTTTTTCTCCGTCTCTTTTAAACAACGGAATGGTTAATATACAACACCTGCAATCGTAACTTCTCGGCAGAAGTTCTAAGAAGATGCGATTGACAATCTCATCGCACGTGTGTAGACTTAGGCTATTTGGTCTTGCAAGCACAGGTGTGTATACTGTTTGCTAGTGACGCTTAGACTGGTGACGGTATTTGCTACAGACATGAAGAACTACATACCAGTTTCATAACATGTACAGTTTTTTTTTCCTAGTGAAAATTGGAGTAAATTAAAAGTCGAATATTTTGGATATGGGGTAACCCATATCTATTCTTGTTACAACGACCGTCAATGCATCCATGGACGAGTTCATTGGTTACTCTGAAAGGTGGCACAGGTTTACCTTTCGTTAACATTTTCTACAATGATCTGCCTACTTTGAGTGATTGTACTTTCATAGCAAAGTTGTTAAAATTTATTCTCGATTGGCCTATAGTTTTGTCATTTAACTGAAAAAAATCGGGCTATTTCGATACATGTAATGCTTAACGGCTGGGACTTGACATCTGTACTAGAATTATACAGAAGTATCCTATCACTGGAAAGATAGATGGTACACGTTGTAGCACAGATCTATAGTACGCTGAATTTTTTTTTGATGTTTCCCCCACATGGAAAAACATTGCTACATGCCTTTATCAAGCTATGTTTGGATTGCTGTCTATCAAATTATTTTGTAAACCTTGATGCACAAAACTAATGCTGGTAAACATGGTAAAGACTGTCTTTTAAAACCTAGTGGTTTTAATTCAACATGTTCAAGCTGTTAAGCTATCTATATAAGTTCTTCCTACTTATTTAAAATGCTTGTACCATAGAATTTAGTTTGTATATAAGGATATATCTATTAAAGAGAAATTCAGATCTTGGTTACGCCAAAGAATACATAAATACGATGTGCAGATTTTAGAGCGAGGTTTGCCAATGATTGGCATATTCTCATTCGAAAAGGGCGAATTGGTCTACGGGCAAGTTGTCTTAGAGGCGAACTCTCTAGTAGCACTGGTTCTCTGCCCTTGATTCCAGTCGCTGCCGCTAGGATTTTTTTTTCAGGGCGCTTGCGCCCGTTTACCAATGTCAGAGTACCAGTCTAACTCTCTAGCATCCTCGCGCATGCGTAGCCTGACGTAAGCCCATGGCATCCGGTTTAACTCCGCTAATATATTTTCTGCGTGGACCTCAGGGTCCACGCAATAAAACTAGCAACATGTCGAACATATGAAGTACATGTATTAAGCAATATACTTAACATATATTTGTCATAGGTTAAACATGTGTTGAATATATGTCATTCAGTGTATTTATCATTAAGTATACATTATGTATTTATCTTACTAACTTGTAGCTCAGTAACGTACGTTACTCGATCATAGTATTGCACCCTCAATCAATCGCCCTCATAATAATAACCAATCGAATTTCAGTTTTTCATTTTGACAGTGTGAAGGGGCTTTAATTATATTGTAACTTTATTTTGTTCACATGAGGGTACGGAATATATGCAACTTAGATAATGCAATTATAAGCATCCGTTAAATAACATATAAGAATACGGACTCCCGTCGTGGCTGGTTTGCTTTCATTTTAATATTTCGTCACTTCTTATTTTCTCATCATGGAAGGGCAATATATTATTATTATTATTATTATTATATTACCAGTGATAATGAAGACAAGAGAACGACGAGGCCTATAAGTACTACGACAAACAGGTAATTAGTTATAATGACAGGCACTTACTAATATGGTTCAATTTTACAGATTCCCCAAGAGGCATTATTTTTAGTTCAAAATACACGAGATTGTTTTTTTTTTAACACGAAGTAAATTTTTACAAAGAGGTTATGTATTTTCTCTGCATCTGACTGGAGCTTTATGAAATCCCCACATCTCTGCTGCATAAGGCCATTCAAAGTTTTTTTTTTTGTTTGTTTAGCGTCCGAGTGCGCCTTGGTTATTGACACCCTATCAGAAAAAAAAAAACAAACAAGATCAGGAATCATAAAATTGATTATTCTGGTCAAAATCTCTCCATTCTGTCAATTTCTTTAGGTATTTGTCTACAATATGTCATATTAGGAATATTTTAAGCAATTAATACCTTGTTTATTAACGAAATCAAATGCTTAGAATGACTCATTTTAAAGACTATACGAGTCTGTGTTTTATTTTTTGGCTTGTGTTTTTGCAAATAGGTAGGTAGGTTTTTGAAAGATGAGTGGACGCTAAACATAAAAAAAATTTGGAATGGTCTAATTAAGAAAACTACTAACATGCATATCAAAAAGGGATATTTTAATTTAAACAATATTTTATTAACAGAAGTGAATGGGATTGTGCTGCAGGCTCAGCCTGTTTTAGTACCGGTTTGGAAATATCAAAAAATGTTACATATATATGACAGTGTTTACATAAATCATCTTGTTGTTGCTATAAATGTTTGTAGGCTGGCTTCAAATATTTAAATATTGATATTAAGTCCATGATTAGGTCTACCATTTACATGTAATAATAATTCATATTCAGAGAGATGGTCAATTTAGCTTTCTCAGCTGGATGGAAGATAAGTTTATTATTTGACTTACAAAAATATTATTTATGGTATTGGTTCATAATTATGCCCCCCCCCCCCCTTTCGAAGAAGGGAGGGCATATTGCTTTGCTGCTGTCTGTTGGTCGGTATATTTGGTATATTGCTGGATTTGACCTACATTTTCTGGATGAGGGACTAGATTAAAGTTTTAGAACGAGTCCATTTCCAAGTAACTCCAATCCCTATCAGACCTAAATTGCATAAATGTATCTAAGGATGCACACTACTAGATTATTAGTTTAGTGTGGGACTTTGCTACCTTACTTAAAGATACTTAACATTCGTTGAGGTGGGCTATGTAATCATTGATTACCTAATGATGTTTGTTATGTGTGGTAGTAAATAAGATTTACATACTTTATCAATAACTCGTTAAGGATAAGGTCCTCACCACTGCTCTCACCGGCTTGAAAAAAGGGGATATATAGTATTAGGGGTGTCCGTCCGTACGTCCTTCCGTTCGTCTGTAGCACTTAAGGGTGCCCATCGTTTATCCACAATTCCTTCTATACCACGGAATAAAATTTCATGAGACTTTTACAGAATCTTAATTACATAGTGCCATTGTGACCTCCTATTTAAAATTTTGATCAGACGGATATTTAGGGTTTCTCACTGCAAAACCAGAACTCCGTCATTCGATCTTTCTATACAGTGAGTGTACCCTTCTCTTATCCGTAACTCGTATACCACTCTATAAAATTTGATGAGACTTTGAAAGAATCTTTATTACAAACTGCCATTGTGCATCTGCCGTTTTTAGTTTCAATCGAATGGATATAGCAAAACATAGACATTGCCATTCATTCTTTAATAATGGGGGTACCCCTCTCTTATAGACATTAATAATGGGGGTACCCCTCTCTTATAGACATTAATAATGGGGGTACCCCTCTCTTATAGACATTAATAATGGGGGTACCCCTCTCTTATAGACATTAATAATGGGGGTACCCATCTCTTATAGACATTAATAATGGGGGTACCCATCTCTTATAGACATTAATAATGGGGGTACCCATCTCTTATAGACATTAATAATGGGGGTACCCCTCTCTTATAGACATTAATAATGGGGGTACCCATCTCTTATAGACATTAATAATGGGGGTACCCCTCTCTTATAGACATTAATAATGGGGGTACCCATCTCTTATAGACATTAATAATGGGGGTACCCCTCTCTTATAGACATTAATAATGGGGGTACCCCTCTCTTATAGACATTAATAATGGGGGTACCCATCTCTTATCCACAACTCCTCCTTTACCACTGAATACAATTTAATGAGACTTTCGCAGAATCTTTATTACATAGTACCATTGTGCACCTCCTATTTTACATTAGATCAGACAGATATTTTGGATTTCCTATGTTAAAACAATGACACTACCATTCTTTTTATAACATTGGAGATACACATCTTTTATCCTCAGTTCCTCGTATACCACAATAAAATTTAATGAAACTTTCAAAGAATCTTTGCTACATTGTGCACCTCCTATTTAACATTTCCATTAGACAGATTTTTTGGATTTCTTGTGTCAAAACCCTGACACTGCCATTCTTTCTTTAACATTGGGGGTACCCATGTCATATCCACAACTCCGCCTATACCACTAAATAAAACATTCACAGAATCTTTATTACATATTGCCATACTGCACCTCCTATTTTTTGTTTCGATTGGATAAATATTTAGGGTTTCTCGTTGCAAAAATGGACTTTGCTATTATACTCATATGGGAGAGAGGGTATAGTTTTGTGAGCTCAGTGCTCACAGTACCCTAGTTTCTTTTTAATTAACCAATTGCTTTTATAATTTCTTTTTGAGATATTTTAATATCCGAATTTAATTAGTAATACGTCTAGTCATACTGATTAATTGGTCAAATTTACCATTTTTTGGTTATAATCATGGTCCTCGGGGCTAAAATTGGGTATACAATAAACATTGTGATTTTTTAAAAATTCTCAAAAACATCACTTCAATTGCTATGCAATATGAATAATTTGTACAGAAAATATATGTAGAAAATCTGTAATTTTTCTTAAGGACTCCTCGACTTTAAATCGTCCAACTTGTATGCCTGCATCCTCATAAGGGTTAGCTTTAACTTTGTTCGAATCATTGCCCCTCGAGCAGGTATGGGGAGACAAAGGATATCTAGTTTTACATCAAAATTTAATGGTCAAATTATTGTAAATAATCTATCTATGATGCTACAAGTAATAAACTTACTAGAAGTATTATCGTGTAGATTTTTTTTCAAACCTTGTCTTCTTGGGACAGTGATGAGGCCACGAAAAAAGGATCCAAAGTTTTTATAGATATGTCTTGAGAAAAATCTTTGAAATTCTAAAGAAATAGAAGCCTACAAATTGCAAGTATGCTCACATGGTACAGCGAATCACGGTCGCGACTAGCTTAAGTCGATAAAAAAATAGGTAGAAACTGTTCCTTCACCAAGCGCTCGGCACTTTGAAGTGAAAGTTGCGGGTCTTTCGGATGAGACCTAAAAAAACCGAGGCCCCGTGTCACAGTAGGCGTTGGCACGATAAAGAATCCTCACTGCTCAATGGCCCTGAGTGCCGAGTAAAGGTCTAAATTTGAAGCCCTTCACCGGTACATGGTGACGTCTCTATATGAATGAAAAATTCTCGAACGGGACGTAAAACAACATAAAATCAATTAATCAATCACATGGTACAGATTTAAGTTTACTGAAGTCATATATATATATATATATATATATATATATATATATATATATATATATATATAAAGCACATTTTACAACAACTCTTAAACTAACATAACTGCCCTAAGTGAAGAAATATTGATATAGAAAGCACAAAGAAATTCACTTTTTAAGGATACCCACTTCCGCCCAAGCCCGGGGTTGAACTCTCGACCTACGGAATCTGTCTCCTAGCAGTACAGGAACAGCGCGCTAGACCGCTCGGCTATCTAGGCAAGTCAAAAAACTTGCTTTCGATGCCGATGGAATTCTCGCGGCGCTAGCGCTGCTCTACACCACACGGTCATTGAGAGTGGAAGTGAGATGCAGTTATTTGGACACTAGTTTTATTAGAGGATCGTTACCAATACACGTTGTAATGAAATTAATTATGTTAGTTTAAGAGTTGTAAAATGTGCTTTATAAATAAAAATTAATATACATACATACATACATACATACGGAAGCCCGTTGAGGCCAGTTTCAGAGAAAGAAATATTTTTTATTGCGTTTAAACGCAAAACATTAATTGCAATGTATATTGCGTTTAAACGCAAAACACTTTGCGTTTAAACGCAAAAGATTGCGATTAAACGCAATACTTTTGCGATTAAACGCAATACTTTTTGCGTCTAAACGCAATAAAATTTTTGCGTTTAAACGCAATAATCTTTGCGATTAAACGCAATAATTTTTGCGATTAAACGCAATAGTATTGCGATTAAATGCAATAATTTTTGCAGTTAATTAATAATCTTTGCGTTTAAACGCAATAATCCTTCCTAATAAGAATTTGTTTTGCATTTAAACACAATGATACTGTAGTTTCAAAATCAAACATGAATTAGTCAAAGCTTATAATTACATGAACATGTACTAGGATCCAACACTTCAACTTTAAGAAGACCCGATTTGTTTTGTGTCTTTTTGCAAAATTTTCCAGTTTTTGAAAATTGTAGTAAAACAATGGCATCTTAACAACCTGAGTGCCTTAAATGTATTAGAACCCAAAACTCTTAATGAAGTCTCTGATCAATTGCTTACGTATATCACAACTTATAGAGAATGTTTCAGTTGCATTAATAGCACTTTGATACATGTAGTACATATCGATCAATCTGTTTTCATTTGATTTTGATTTTGATCTCGTATAAATTCATCACATATGTTCTTGTGTTTACTGTATGCAACCATAGGAAGGGTTATGAATGTACATTTAAGTCTAAATACTCCATCATGTTGTATGTTATTCCAACATTTCCTCAGTCCTTTCCGAAAATCCCTTAATACATGGTGACCGCAACGTAGGGGACAGTTTTTTTTTAACAGAGCAACTGACCAAAACTTCATTAAGAATGTAGAGAATAATAAGCTTAA